GGGGTTGGTCATACGTTGGTTTGCGTGCAGCAGCAGCAACAGCCTGGTTGCAGCTCTGATCACCAGGAGGGCCCGGTCACAGACCGGGCCGCGGGGGCGTTGACCCCGGAATCTCTCCAGGTAAACTCCCGGGATGGTCGGGTCTTGAATCTTCCCAGACCCCAAAAGGTCCCGGTGCATGGGAAGTGGGCCTTTGGGTGGATCAGCACCTGGCGGGTGGGGGCCCTTGTTCACCGTTGCAGTGAGTCACCCCCGCCTTGCAATATTGGGCCTTCAAAATGGGGCCAGTGGGAGGGGGGACAGGGACGTTTAAAAGCACCCCTTGTACACCTTTTCCGAAGCAAGCAGTTCCACCATGCTGGGGTGGGGACAACCACCCCTTCAACTCCTCGTAAAAAGTCTTCGCCCGAGGGAAAGACCAGAACCTCGTTCCCGAGGTGAAATCGAACGGAACTTGAGGTGGGGGGGAAACCTTCCCGTACCTTAAAAACCCGTAGTTTGGGAAAAATTGAATTGTTGAAGGCCCCCGGTTCTTTGCCCGAGCTGAGGGGAATCCCCTTCCGTGGGGTCGCCGCCCCCTCACTGTGGAGGCCAATGCAATTGGTGTAGGGGCCTGGGGGGGCTCCACCTTGCCCCTTTAGGAGCTACATCCTCCTGGGTCCTTCCCCGACCCTATGGCCCTCTGGGGGGGCAAGTCTTCTTGGGGTAGGGGGGTGCCGCGGACCTAGTGGCAGATTGGGAGTACAGTGTCTCCACTGATCCTTGGGCCCTTTTTGTGGGGGCTCCACCTGCCCCACGCGTCCTCCAACTCGTCCCCGATTTCCAAAGGAAAGTTTTGGCCGCTCTCCTGGTCTGTCATGGTGACTGTAGGTGTGGGGACAGAGCCAGCAGCAGGCTGCGCCTGTGACCCAAGCCGCCCACATGGGTGCAGAGCTTGAGGCCAGAGCCCCCGTCGGGGGGCCCCTAGCCCCCCCCCGGGTCACGCCTGAAGCATGAAAACAGTCCCAAAGGGTCAGGAAAGCCCGTAAACTGGCGTAAAAAAACACAGATTTCGAAACACAACAACACGTTTTTTCCAAACTTTGTCCAGTCATAAACCCTTTTGAATTGAAATTCTTGTGCACTGTGCTCTATCCCCTTTTCATTTTTTTTTTTTTTTTGCGGTATTCTCCCGGGCCCCGGGGCTTTTCCAAGTAGTGGTGACCCGGCCTTGGGGCCCCCCATCTGGGGGTGTCTCGAGACTTAAGTCTCCCATGGGAGGAGGGACAAGTACCCCCTCATCTGTGGGAACCAACTGTCCCCAGGCCTAGCCACAGTCCCCCCCCCTCACGGGGCTCGTAGGGAGAAGCTAGGCCTCTGGTCTGCCATCTGCCCCGCCCCAAAGGGGCTCGTGGGGATGGCAGTCTTATGAGCTGCAGGTGGTAGCAAGCTCAGGCCTGTGTTTTTTTACATATTTCGACATGTCATATCATATTTTAACGTATTGCAATTTTTCTCCGAATCTGACAACTGAAATGTAGGTAATCATTATACATGTACCAAATTTTTTCGACCTTCTTAGTTAATATACTTTTATTTATTTTTTTTTTTTAAATATACAGTATACATGCATATCACACATTGACGTAATCATAATACATGAAACATTTATAAGAAAACATCCTTATAACTAACGGATGACAACCTACCCCTGAACATACATAATAAAATGGCCACTAGCCAAAAACTGACATTTGTATTCATA